TAACACATTTAAAACAGTATGAACATAAAAACATTCCATAAATGTTAGCAGCCACACTCCAGCCATAAGGCATTAACTGCCATTTTCCAAATGCATGCTGTTTTTTTTTTTCACTTCCATGAGTTAGTTCATGATGACATGTCTATTTAGAATGCCTTCTCCCACTGCTTCACCTAGCTAACTCTTGGTTGTCGTTTAAGACAGAAGTCCTGGTGGAACTAGCTCTAATTCACACTTCCTCCAGTCAGGAGCCCTCTTCTGGGCTCCCACAACACCTTGTGCTTGACTCTACAAGTGAGAAACCATTGCAGGGTTTTAGATGGAGTAGTGACCTCATCTGGCTTGAATACCTACTATTTGCCAGGCAGCATTCTAGATTCTGAGTCAAGACAAGAATAAAAAGAATACTTAGCTCATAGGGTTACTAAGAGCATTATGAGAGATAAAGTGTGCCAAGCTTTTAAGACAGTGTCTGGCATAGGGTAAACAGTCAGTAAATGTTAAATATTATTATCTATCTATATTTGGGACACTCCCTTACATCTATTGATAACTGTGGCCTTTGGGTCAGTCTTCCTCTCTAAACAAAAATTCCACTACCATCCTTAGTAATGACCCCTCCGACATGCTAGCCTCTCTCCTGTACCTGAACTCCAGTAGCTTTTACCTCCGCCCTACTCCAAACACACCATGACAACATCCTGACCTTGACATTGTTGTTAAGAGTGTGGGATTTTTTGCAGACTGAAATTGATTGCTCATAACCATAGAATTGAATTAGATATAGAACACCCAGGTGAGATTTTCCATTAGCTTGAGACAAGAGTGCACGCTTCTATCTCCACTGCAAACAAACAACAAGTCTCTTTAGTATAACTGAGTCCCTGGAAGATAAAGGCAGAGATGGGAAAGGGAGGGCTGGCTGGAGATGCTAGTTTTGCCGGCACAAGATAAAAGCAGGCATCTTTATGACTGCTTAAAGAGAAGAAATTATAGTTGCAGTCTTTCTGACAGCAAGGTGGGAGCAAGACACCCAAGTAAGTCAGGAGACTGAGGGGCAGGTGCTGCCAATAGACACCGTTCAATATGAATGATCTTCACAAAGGTTGTGCTCTGATGATGAGTCAAGAGTAATCCTGTGTAAGTGTGCACCCCTTTCTATCAGAAGAAGGTACATAAAACTAATGGCTCCAAGGGTGAGGCCTGGAAGTCAGGGCTCACTCCACATTCCTTAACACGAAGCACTCTGCTCTTTATCTATTTTTATTTGGCCTTTCACTTATAACTGCTTTTGCAAAAAGTGTTCTAATGCTAAACCTTTGCTGTTCCCCTCAGCAGATAACTACACATTTTACTTTCTATAGAATCCAGCTGCCATGGAGGTGTGGCGATCACCCTTGAAATTCCTCTCTACTTATCTACATGTCATGCTCTTTCACCTCTGAGAATGTGTCCTTTTTCTCATTCAAGGCTAATGCCACTCTCATGCTTGATCTCATTTCTTTCTCATTTCCTCTGAGTCTTTATACTATAATTTTTTCAACCATATTAAGTTGCTGCTTGGGACATCTGGCAATGATGGAACATTGGCAATTTCATATGGTTCATTCTTTTACTCTCTAGATGTTCCTTCTCCTCAACCAAAGATAATTATAAAACAAACAAACAAACAAACAAACAAACAAAAAACCATTCTTGTACAGGTAAGAGTAACCTCTCCATAGATTGTGTTCTTCTAACTTTACACCTCTATGTGTCTCTCTATACAAAATCTAGATGCCATATCTCAGGTGTCTAGCTATGCCTTTGGTGGCTTCGCTGTTTGCATCGCTCGATTGACAATACACTCAACAAGGATTTACTGAGGATCTGGCATGTTTATGTAATTTTTATTCGCTCATTCAGTAAATACCTGATTACCTACACTGTTCCAGACACTGTTGTAAGCACTTAGAATAGATCACTGAACAAAATAAAGCTCCCTGTCTTCTTGTAGCTACTGTTCTAGCAGATGTGAGAGGGAAGAGAAATACAATAAATAAACATAATAAATAAAAGAACCATATAGTATTTTAGAAAGTGATAGATCCCATGGAAAATGAAAAAGGAGAGCAGGGAAGGAAGACTGGGAGTGCTAGGAAAAGAAGTTGTAATTTTAAGTATGGTGGTCATGGTAGGCTTTATTGAGAAGGTGCAATTAAGCAAAAACTTGAAGGAGGTAAATGGCAAGCCACAGAGCTAGCTGGGAGAAATGTTCCAGGCAGAGTAAAGAGCAAGTACAAAGGCCCTGAAGCAGGAAAGCTAAAGGAACAAGGGAAAAAAGTAGTAGGAGATGAGGGCATAAAGAAAGATACCAATTGTGCAGGATCTTTGTATGTTATCTACTGCTAGGTAACAAATTGACCTAAAATTTAGCTGTTTAAAACAACAATACATGGGAATTAAAAGGTGGCTTGGCTGGGTTGTTCTGGTTCTGGATCTCAAGAGGTTGTAGTTATCTGAAGTCTGGGCCTGAAGGATCCTCTTCCAAGGAGGCTCACTCACATGGTTGGTTCTGAGTGAAGGAGAGAAGATGTAGAGAAGGGGAGGACTCACTTTTTCCCTATGTGGGCCTCTTCACATGCTATTTTGAGTATCCTCAGGACATGACAGCTGGGTTCCCCCAGAGCAACCAATCTAAAAGAGAACAAGGTAAAAATCACAATGCCTTTTATGACCTAACCTCTTAAGTCACACATCATCACTTCCACTGTATTTTGTCGATTACACAGGCCAGCTCTGGTTTATCGTAGAAGAGAAATACCCAAGGGCATGAAAAGCAAGAGGTAAAGAGCACTGGAGATCATCACTGTAGCTGGCTACATTGGCCTCTGTAGGCCATTATAAATTTGTGGCTTTTACTTTGAGTGAAATGGTGAGCCACTGAAGGGATTTGAGCAGATAAATGACAATGATCTGATTCATTAGGATAACTCTGGCTGCTCTGTGAAAAGACTGGAGAGTGACAAGGGTGTCAGCTGGGAGACCAGTGAGGAAGCTTGTACAATCCATGAGAGAAATAGACTAGGGGCATAGTGGTGTTGAGAATTGGTGATATTCTGGATGTATTTTGAAAATTGAGATGACAGGATTTGTTGATGAATTGGATGTGGGATAGGAGAGAGTAAAGATGACTCCAGTAAACCCTTGGAGTCAGTACAAAAATGAATTAGACATAGATATTGCTGTAAATGAACTTAGAACATAGGTGAGAGAAGGCATGTAACAGTAGCTACACTGTATGGCAGAAAGTTCTGTGCTCTATAACAAAGGCACAAATTTAAGTGCCAAGTAAGATGAAAAAGTTCTGGAGATGGATGGTGAATGTACATAATGCCACTGGACTCTACACTGCAAAATAGTTAAAATGGCAAATTTTATGTTATATACATTTAACCACAATTTTTAAAAGATGCTAACAAAACCAAAAACAAAAATTTAAGTGCCAGGAGAGTTCAGACAGGAAGAAGATGTGACCTTCAGCTAAGGGAATCAGAGAAGGCTCTGTGTAGGAGCAGTCTTTTCACCTCACAGAGTAGTTTGAGCAAATAGAAGAGGCAGGAAAGCTGGGGATGGGCAGGTGCACTACGAGTTGTTCCATTTTGTTAGAAGATAGGTAGTACGCCCAAAGGGAGAGTGAACATGAAGCTAAGTAGTCTTAACATTATCCTGAAGGTCACACTACAGTTTAACTCAGATGGTCTTATGCAGGCTGGATTGTGGGGGACCAGTCTAGGGATAGAATGGCCAGTTAAGAGACTGGAAAATGATCAGGCAGACCATTAATCAGATCTAGATTTGAATCACTATTCCACCTCCCACACATACTAGCAGTGTAACTTTGGATAAGCTACCTAACCTCTCTAAACCTCTGTATCTTCATCTGTAAAATGGGGATAATGAGTTACATATTTTTTAAGGTTGCTATGAGAATTAAATAACTATTTTCTTGCAATAAATCAGAAGTCAGGTTCTCAAAGCTGTGACAGTGGGAGAGGATCAGAGGGGATATTATTTTAGCAAATCCCTAAAAAATAAAAAGTAGTCTCTCCTTCCTTCAAGCTCCCTTTTCATGAAGGGCAGCATCATTTGGGGATGCAGCTGATACCTCTCCTCCTTTAAATGAAACATTCTCATTCAGAAAATTTATCTCACTACACTAGCCTGTAAGGAAGCCCGTTTCTGAAACAAAATTCATTTTGGTCTGACAAGCCTAAAGCATATTTGAAATAAACCCAGGATATAATCTGCATTTTTTGAATAGATTTCCTTTGTTTCCCTTGTTTCTGTGTCTCCTCTTCCCTATTCATTTTCCCTTCACCTCCCAATCCCCTTCCTGCCTCCACTGTCTTCCTTTTTTCTTTCATCCTTCCCTCCTTGGACACAGATCATGTTGTAATCTCAGTTCTCTCGTTTATTAGCTGCGTGTTATTGGGATAGTAATCCTCTTTAGGCCTCAATTTCCTCTGTAAAATGGATTTAATAAGAGAGTGCCTACCTTATAGAGTTGTCAAAATTACAACAAAGAACACGTTATATGGCTCCCACAGTGCCTGGTCTATTGTTAAGAATTCAACACGTTCGCTCTATTCTCTACCTTTTTATTCTTCAACCTCTGTTTTGCTATTCCTCAAACCCGGAAGCCAGCAGGTAAAGCTTGTGGCGGGAGGGGGAAACGCCTCGAGGCTAAACGAGGAAACGCTTGAGCTTGGGGCGGGGACTGCACGGTGCCCACGACGCATGCGTGCCCGCCCCTTCAGCTTCTGGTTTCCAGTTGGAGGGGGTGGGAGTGGGAGGGAGAGGTCTTCGTTTGTCCTGGCTGCTCCCTTCCCGCCTGGGGAAGTGGCGGGACCTTGGCGGCGCCTCAGGCGTGCCCAGTGAGGGACGGCCGGGCCCGAGGGGTAAGTTCGAAAATGGCGGAGGGGGAAGAAGGAGGGGCTTTGCCGGTCGCGAGGCTAGACTCCTGGCGGGGGTGGCGGGAAGATTACGGAGTGCCCAGTGGCGCGGCAGGGGCTGTGATACTGACGGACAGCGTCCGGTGTCTCTTGGAAGCCCTTCGAGGCCCTCGGGATACCTTCGGGGGATGGGCGTGCTGGTGGGTGCGAGTGAGGGAGAGGAAGGGACTTCCGTTTCCTTTTAGGCCAGGCCTGGCCGCGAAGCGGCGTTGGTATTGCCAGACTGGGGCTTGGGCCTCCCCTCCTCCAGGACCCTCCCCTCGGGATCGCGCACGCCGCCGCGGGCGATCCGGGCCGGCTCTCCTGGCAAGGTGGGTACTTCTCGCGTGGGGTTTCTTCTCCCTTTCCTTCCTCTTTTCTCCCCTCCTTCCCCTCGGGCCCCGCGTTTTGGGGAAAGGCGGGAAGGCCGCCCCTGCCCAGCGTGGGTGGCACACCGGGGCTCCTGGCCCGTACTTCCAGGACTGCCTAAGGAAGGCGTGGGCGGGTGGGTGCCAGCCTGAACTCCATGACCGGTGAGGTAAATCGAGTCACAGAACTTTTTGTTAATGGTCAAAAGGACTGCCCCCCAACCCCTCGTCTGATGCCTGTGAGATGTATAGATCTGTGTGAAGCGTGTGTGGTGAAAGAGCCAAAGAGCTTCCGGAAGAGGAAATTAGTATTTCTTTCTGACCTTTGCTGCCCTAGTCAGCGCGCCAGCATATTATGTATAAAACAAAATTCAATCTAACTTTCAGTTTCATTATTTTAACTCTGTAATACACTTAATTATTTCCTTTTCGGTGAGGGGGAGAGTGGTTATTGCTGGAACTAAGCTACGGCCCTCTAAAAGAAGTCAATCAAAGCTTTGTAAAAACCTACTCTATTTCAATAATCTAGTTTGCTTTCAAACTTATGTCTCTGGTTTTGTCAAGTATACCTTGATAGTTAATGACGCATAGAAATTTACTCTGGTAAGACTGGAGGTTGCTATAGTGTTTCTTCTCTTTTTTTACTTAACATTCATTACAACCAATTCAAGAGAAACTGTTACTGACGGCCATCTTAGAATCATACTGTTTTTGAGTTGGAAGGGATCTTAGTTCAGACCTGTAATTTTACAAAAGCAGAAACTAAGGCACAGTAAGATTTCATGGCTCGTTTGAGGCTCCTCGACTGCTTAAATTAAAACCCAGGTTGTCTGGCTCCTTGCTCGCCGTTCTTTCTGCACAGGTGCTCCACATAATCTCCAAGCAAGAAAATTTAATCAATACAACGCACATTCCTGAGGCGTATACCACTTTGTGCGATACAGCTCTGTTACTGCTTTCAATGTATTTAACATGCTGATGAAGTTAGTTCTTGACACATTTTCCCCCATCATTCAAGAAGTGGCAACAGTTTAGGTTAAAAAGATACGTACACATACAGGCACATATGTATACTTGAATATGCTCAGGTAACTTCCTGAAGGATGCATAAGACAAAATCTTAACAATGGTTATTTATGGAGGATGTAGAGGGGTGGGAGGCTTTTTACTTTGCACTTCACATGTAGCCTGATGTACTGTTTGAATTTCTTCCATAAACAAGTATTGATTTTATAATTAAAAACAAGTTTTAAAGTTCACACGTATATATATGTCAATATAAGTAAGTGTGTATCAATGATGTGTATATCTATTTATATACATATATATATATTTATGTATCAGTGGTTTGTATTGTAAAATCCAGTGTGGTTCCTGTCAGCCCAGCTAGCAAGGCAGGCCTGATTATTGCATGGTCACCTTTCTTCCTTGGTTTTATCCTATTCCTAATATAGTAAAAAATTAAATATGTTACTAGTCTTTAAATATTTTTATAAAATGTGCTAAGCTTTTGATTATTGAATAATGTAGCAAAATATATTCAGGATGTCAATTTTGACACAAAAAATCTGAATGTAGAATTTTGGGATAAGAATCATTTAAAAAATATTAAGACTGGAAAGGTCCCTAGTGGTTAGTATTTCAGCTCTTGTTTTTATAAATAGATTAATTAAGACTCAAGAAAAGTGAATTGCCCAAGGTTATGTATCTGGTTATTAGCAGAGCTTGGACTAGGATGTAGGTCGTAGTCCAGTGTTCTTATATTATACCTGTTATTTTATTGCTTTCTAGTGCTTTTGATGACTCCAACTAGGCAGACAAAGTAGTGACTAAAGGGTAGTCAGGCCGATTTCAGTAGATAAGAATTATTGTAATTAGTGTACCATTAATTTGTATAGTACTTGAAATATTTTAGTTATATAAACATTCCCCTTACATTTGTTGTAAACATTAATTTGTTTAGTGACTCCTTCGTATATATTATAAATGCTTAGAGACCCCAAACATAAAATATATTTCACTTTTTTTGTTTGGTCTCATATTTAAGTCTGGTAGCTAGTGCTACCAGGAAAAAAAAAGCTATGTTTTGTTTGTTAAACACATTTATTGAGCACCTACTATATGCCAGGCATTGTACTACTAAGTGATAGGGTTCCAAAGATGAATATGGCAACATAGTGCCCTTGTTCTTTTGAAGCTGGAAGATTATCTTGTGCTGTCAATTCTCAAGATTAATCTCTGGTCGAATCTGGTAATAGTATTATACAATGTAATCTGTAGTACTATTTAAGGTCATTGTGTGAGTACATCCGAGGACACAAAAACAGTGATAAAATAAATAAGTTGAACCGTACAAATGTCAAAAATTTTTTTTTATTGTAGCAGTCATGTGATACAGTGGAAAGAGCCCTGGATTGGATGCCTGGCTTCTTGTCTTGCTTCGTTTCCAATTAGCTGTAGAATTGTGAGCAAGTCAGTAAACCTCAGTGCCTCCATATTTTTTTCATAATTTTTTTTATATATTCCATTTATTTCAAAACAAAATGTTTTTGGAATACTATATATTAAATATGCTTATTATAGAAAATTTGAATTTCAGAATAGTATTTAGAGAATAAGTATTCTTAATTAAGCAGGCCCACATTCTTTTATATTTACTTACCTTTTTTCACTTAGTATCATATTGTATATAGATTGTTTTAATCCTTTTTCTCTCATTCGACATTCTGTATTGAACATTTTATATGTCATGAAGTCTTTCAAAATATAGTTTTTATTTATTAGGCAAGTTCTATGCACCGTTTCCTTCATCTGTAGAGTAACAGGTTCGAGCTAGTTGACTCAAAGATTTGAAACCCATTATAATAGTTTTTTTAAAAAACTGATTATCTTAGATTTTATCAAGGAAAAAAGTCCCACATAACAGTCCCAAATCTGTTTGGAATAAATATCTCAAAGGGACAAGAAATTAAGAATAAGGTAGAGATTCAGTCCTTAGTAATTTATGGTTTATACTTCCATTTACTTTAAAATTTCACATGCTAAATACTTAAATTTTAATTTGTTGGAGGTGCAGGTGATACGTGTGTCAATACTGCGTTAAAAGCTGACCAAGTTCAATTGTGTAGGGTGGGTATATAATGGATTGAAGAGGGAGAAACTAGGCTTCTGAACTTGGGATTCTGTGATTATTAGAGCATAGAGGAGAAAAACCTTGTGGAAGCACAAAAGAGTTCAATAACTTGCCCAAGGTCCAAATAGTTATTAAATTGCAGAGGTAGGGTTTGAATCCAGATTTCTCTGATTCTAGTTCTCATGCTTTTCTTCCATTGCATGCTGTATTTCAAAAGATGACGATCTCTCAAACATATTTCTTGATGGTATTGCTTTGATCAAAATTAACCAACTTGGTATCAGTAAATTGAGGAGCTAAGGTGAGAAACGTTGAGATAGCACTTAGGAAAATAGTTTTCAGCCTGAGGCAACCCAGCCAACACCCCCTTGAGCACCTTATACTTTGAGCTGCTTTTAACATCAGTGTTTTGACAGTGGCTGGCATGTAATAAGTAGGTAAAAAATTGTTGATTGAATGCTCCTGCTTGTTACAAAGAAATGTGTTAGATGAAAAAGGAAAAATTTAAACTTCCAAGACCTTCCAGATAATTCAAAAGAAAGGCCTTTCTGTGTTCTAAGAAATTAAGGATAGCAGTTGTTGATTAGTGTATTTACCACAAGAATTTGAGGCCAAACGTAAGAGTTACATGTTTTATCTTCTCTGTGTATAGTTAATAGTAGATTATCCTTTGTGTGATAAAAGCATATTTTTATCCATTTTGTAGGACTTGGCATGGACTTTTACTATTTCTAATTATTGTATAGTTGTAGCTCTGCTATTTGATTTTGGTATGATTGGTACCCAATCTTTTATTAAGAATACATGTGATACACTTATGATATACTTTTATAATGTAGTTTCAGGGATCTGGGTCGTGTTTAAAAGTGGGATTTACCTGTGTGGGGAAGGAAAATTTATTTCCTTCTAAGTTCTTCTGGCTGGTCTAATTGACATGAGACAGATTAACAGGAGAAAATAACCAGATTTATTATGTATCTATATATGGAGACTCTGAATATAGGACTCCACGAGATAATCCGGCAGTTGAGGCTGATATTCCTTTCTGGACTAAGAAGAGGGAGGCAGGGGTCTGGGACTTCAGAGGGAAAGTAGGCGATTCACAGGTAGATGAGAAATAGCAAACATGTGGTAAACAAATTCTTGCTGTGGCACCCAAAAACAATAGGCAGTCTAACAGACTGCAGGTTCCTCTCTGCCACACTTGGATCATATTGTGCCAAGATGATAGCTCCTTTAAGCAGTATTTTCTATCTGAATTCCTTTAGACAGATAAGGGGGAGGAGGGTCAGAGGTTCTCTCTGAGTTTTTTGTTTCTTAAAATAAGTAATACTTCAAAAAGGGATGTTTTGGAGTGGCAAACTCTGTTTCCCATCACCTGTATAGACTAGGAATAGCTTGAATGCAGATGGTCCAGACAGAAGTTAAACTGAGTGAGTTAAGGCTGATTTCTTAAACTGGGCAAAGCTGGTGCCACTGTGCATTCCTTGCTATATCTGTATAAATACTTATTTATGGTTTGAACTTTCATACTTATTACTGTAATAATTTTTTAACTTCAAAACACAGGCCTCTCAACATATATTGCTATGTGATTTACCTTTCTATCGCTCCAGCTAATTTTTCAACCCTTGAAAAGGCAAGGAGCCTAACATTTTTTGCTACCTCACTGGGCTACCCTTTCTGCCAATAATCCTTCATTTCCTTAGACCTATATTGGTCATAATCACTGGGTTTAATTTTTGACTGTCATTTACTGGCCACGTGATCTTTGATGAGTAGCAACCAGTCGGAAAACAAGTTACCCTATGTTTCAAATGGGGGTTATGAT